TTATATGTATTTATTATATTACTTCACCAACTACAGTACAAGTGGACTTGTCGCGCTGGAACTAGATCATCACGCGTCAAATTGCTGTACCACTCGTTTCCTAGCCTGCCTGCTATTCTTGGCAACCCACAATTTTTCAGTACGAAACGTCGAAATTCGCTAGCCTAGTTTCGCGTGTGGTGAACTGGTTTTAGATGGCAGGGACTCGCGGCGGTTTCCTACTGCCATCCAATGTTGCCAGTGTTTCACAAAGTCCTATGTAATCTCCTGTGTTTGAATAAAGTTTTCTATTTTGATGCAGTATTCTTGACCGATATTCAGTGTAGTCAAGCACGTTACCTCTTCACCTCCTACAGTGTCGTTATAGATGTGATATCAATGCTTCCTATGATCGCTTACATGAGTGAGCCTGAAAACCACCCCACGATTGAACACACTCGCCGACTCCATAAAAAGTAAGCAAGCATGGGATACTGATGAGGACTTGTTCATGGTGTCGCTTGCGGCCCATTGTTGGCCGCAATTTGACGACCAGCGACGCGGCTAATTGTCACGTTTGTCCATTGAACGTTTGAGGCATCTCTACGCTTTCTAAACACCTTGACGAGACGCCAAGATTATGCAGTACCAGAGCCTCATGTCGATCTGAATGTTTGTATTATTGAAACTGTAAAAATATCACCACAAATAGAAAAAAACCGCTGGCTTGACACGCTGCAAGAGGACCTGAAATTACTCGACCTCCATCCCGACTACACTTTAAGTCGGGGAATTGCGTTAACATACCAGAAAAGGATAACCGTTTCATAAAGTTGGACAACGCTCAAGTAGAAGAAGAGCTAAAAGTGAAACATTAAATGATGTCTTACCATTGACATTCATCAGAAAGAGTAGTAGCGCTGAGCATAATATTGTGTCCCGGTAGGCTGGGTTAGTGCAAAAGGATAATGATATTGGGTGACACGGGCCTAATAATACCAGAGAGCGCGGTTTGGAAGGTGTCTTTCTCTCAAGAACTGACATCAGAAATTTAGATCTATATGACTAGAGTCGGTGCAAGTGAATCGGCAGAATTTTCGCAGTGCATCCGCAGTAGTATGTCCCAAGAGTCTCATCAAGGTGTTTAGAGAGCGTAGTGGTGCTTCAAACATTGAATGGGGAAGCGAAAATTAGCTAGCTAGTTAGTTTGAAAAGAATTTCAAATTAGAAGAAGGTACTAAGCTCCTAAATCCTTGTTAAAAAATTCTACTTTTGGGCACTTTGTGGGGTGAAGGACGAGAAGGTAATTTCCTCACTTACTCCCTTTCCTTCCGGAGCTTCATCTATATACTGACGAGCAATCGGATGCAGTAGCTGCCGAGGTCAGGAAATTCCTTTCAAACACGCACACTTAGCATATGACTTCCTCGCATGTAGATCTGCCAATCGGCGACGAGTTTGCGATCGGTTTCTTCTGGTTTTCCCGGAACGCTACAGCGGTATGACTACGAATCATTGCGTGACTAACAGTACCAATAATGTGTTCAAAAAGTCATGTGTGGGGACGTGATTCAGCGAGTGACAGAAACGGACAACATTTGATAAGAGCTGATAATGAACGTTAAATGCAACTCTACCGATTTCGTGACGCCGATTTCGTCGACGCTGCAATATATTTGCTTATATGGGGATATAAGGGCGGAAGTGGTGTAGTGACAAGTGGCGCGCTCACCACGCGAGCGGTCCGGGATCAAATCCTGGGTCGTGAGTCGCCCGGGCCAACCAAGCCTTCCATCCCTCCGGGGTCGGTTAATTGGTACCAGACTTGTCTGGGAGGATAAAAACACTGACTTGAACATCGGCTGGCCCCCGCAAGTCATTGTATAGGCCACATCGCATTCAAACGCCACTACGAATGTACAAATGGAAGTAGAATGCGTGCCGCATCCCAAAAAGGGATTGATCAACGGCAAATGCTTATCCTTTATCTTTTTTATTCGCACCTTCCTTAACTCAAATCGACTGCTTCCAATTCAGTATCGAAGAGCCCATCCTGATGTATCAATAAACGTCACAATAGCTTCCTGCACCAAGGGCATCTTTAACCCACTCGCGACCGGGCGGGATTTTCGAAGACTGCCCGTTCGGACCAGCGCCGTCAGAGACGATTGCGCAATGTCAGCCACCGGTGGCTGACATTGTCCCAGGGGAAATCCATCTTGTATTTTTTTAGTTTTTTCTATATGTCATCCGTAGTTCACGCTGAAACTTCTCCCATAGAGGTTATCAAGGGTCCTGATCACGATTATGGGATTCATTTTTGGCGCTGGCGCCAAATTGGCGCCATTTGGCGCCAGATGGCGCCCTGACTGAATTTCGTCAAACTCGATGTAAACTTGTATATAGGGGTTATTTGAGGCCCTGATTACGAATATGAGATTCGTTTTTGGCGCTGGCGCCAAATTGGCGCCATTTGGCGCCAGATGGCGCCATGACTGAATTTCGTCAAACTCGATGTAAACTTGTATATAGGGGTTATTTGAGACCCTGATTACGAATATGAGATTCGTTTTTGGCGCTGGCGCCAAATTGGCGCCTTTTGGCGCCAGATGGCGCCCTGACTGAATTTCGTCAAATTCGATGTAAACTTGTATATAGGGGTTATTTGAGACCCTGATTACGAATATGAGATT